ATGAAGGTAGCTGGTTGCCAACTAGGGCGTCTCAGCAAGAAAATTGGTTTAAATGTACATACACTAGCATACACAGAGCATATCAGAGATTATAAGGAGGCACTAAGCAAGGCAAAAAACACTTACTAGTCAACCATTATTTCAAAAGGACAAGGCAACCCCAGAGCTCATTTTCTCACTGTCAACAAGCTACTTCAATCAGCAAAACAATTTCCTCTAGCCACCTCTACAAAACTGCTTTGATTTCATGGACTTTTTCCAGAACAAAATCATTTCCATCTATCAGCAGCTACATAGTATGTCCATGAAATCAAATGTTGTCAACCCCTCCCTCCCTCCCCTCCCTGTCAGCTGTTTTTCGGTTTTCTCCCCTGTTGATGAGCAATATGTAACCAACCTTGTCAGAAACTCAAGGTCTACCATGTGCCTTCTTGACCCCATACACACTCCTCTGATAAAATCATACCTGCCTGTCCTCTGACCCCTGCCGACACAAATCATTAATACATCTCTTCTGTCTGACTTTGTTCCTCCATGTCTAAAAAAGGCTGCTATCACCTGCAGTCCTAAAAAAAACCTGGAAGTGACCTGGATGACCTCAACAACTACAGACCCATCTCCAACCTCCCATTGCTAGAAAAACTCCCTGAGCGCACTCTGGCCAGCCAGCCCCTGGCTCATATATCTGACAACAACCTGTGGGAAGAGTTCCAATCTTGGTTTAGGACAAAACATAGTACAGGAACGGTCCTCACCAAAGTGACAAATGACCTACTCATAGCCTTGGATTCTGGTTATCTCAACATACTCATCCTGTTAGATCTCTCTGCCGCTTTTGATACAGTCAGCCACAAACTTCTTCTGGATCGATTAGAACATTTACTTGGTGTCACCGGCACCCCATTATCCTGGTTCAGGCCCTACCTCACAGCAAGAAAACAATGTGTCCATCAGCAACCTCAGGTCTCCCACATCCCCCCTTTCCCATGGTGTTCTCCAAAGCTCAGTTCTATGGCCTCTACTTTTACTTCTTGGACACATAATTCGTTGACATGGCCTCAATTTCCACTGCTATGCTGACGACACACAAATCTACATCCACACCAAGCCCCCAGACACTTTGCCACCATCTAACCTGACAGACTGCTTAAATGATATCAGTGATCGGATGACCTGCAATTATCTCAAACTCAACCAAGATAAATCTGAAGCCATCCTCAATGCTTCCCCAGCCACACTTTGCAAAGTTCCCCAGTTAAATCTCAACATCCCTGGGTCCATTACATCATCTGTAGCTGAAGTCATAAATCTCGATATACCTCTGGATTCCACCCTCTTTTTTGACACACATATTAAAAATATCACCAAAACAGCCTTTTTCCATCTCAAGAACTTTTCCAAATTATGCCCTTCTCTTTACAATTCTGTTGCAGAGACCCCCATCCATGCTTTCATTACAACCTGACTCAACTACTGTAACGCTCTTCTCTTCAGTGTACCCTCACAGGCTTTAAATAGACTCCAGATTGTTCATAATTCAGCTGCAAGAATACTCAGTCACACACGGTCCTGGGAGCACATCACCTCCACACTTCAGCAACTACACTGGCTCCCAGTTAAATACCGCATTCACTTAAAAAAAACTCCTACTTGTCTATAAATTTCTCCATGATCCGGCACATCAATACCTAACCAGTCTTCTCCACCCCTACAAACCCTCAAGGTCCCTACGTTCCTCTGATGCCCAATTAGTCCACACTCTCCCCTCCAGACTGTGCACCATGGGCGACAGGGCCTTTAGTATAGCTGGCCCTAACCTTTGGAATGCTCACTCCCAGAGTCTGCGCCAATGCAAAGCTGTTTCTTCTTTTAAGTCTCAATTCAAAATGCATTTATTTAGACTGGCCTTTCCTGGTGCCCTGTGAGATGTACTCATTGCGATTGTTGAATTGTTGCTTTTTTATTTGTGATTATGAGTACGCACATGTGTATGTTTGTGTGTATGCATGTGCATGTATGCAAATAAAAACAAGATAGACAATGTATAAAAATGAAATATACACATTATATATATATATATATATATATATATATATATAATATCTATTATGGTTCCTAAAATATTTCCTGGGCCCCTGAGCTAATACAGAGTGTTTTCCCCTCTACTGTCTCTCCACTGGTTCCAGTCATGTCAGAGAACGGACATGTAGGTTTTACTGTCTGTTTCATCTCTGACCTCCTGCACCGCCACATTTTCTCCTCGTCTCTGAGATCATCAGACCAAGGGCTCAGGGCTTAGGGCTCAGGGGAGGATCCCTGCATCACTTCTATACTGAACATCTTCACATCTTTTTGCTTTGATTCATCTGCCGTTGGTTTAGTGTGGCTGTGTAACTGTTGTTTTGTTTTCTGTTGTCCACAGTATCTCACTCAGCAGCTTCACTGTACTTCATCAATATGTTCATCTGATCTAACACTTTCTACACAGCAGAGCTGGGGTAAAATCCACAGCATCTTTCTGCTGTGTTCACTGATGAAAAGACAGAGATCAGGTTTCAGGGAATTTGGTATAAACGTTCACTTGGACTCAAGGATGAACTGATGAGAGGTCACTGTGACTGCACAAAACATGTCAAGAATGTACACACTGATGAAGTGCAGCTGGACTGGATTGTAGTTACTCTAATTCATTTCATTGTGATAGATTTGCAGTGATTTGAGGTTTTTATTACAATATTACAAAAACAGATTCAACACAACATGTTGGAAGAAAACGTCTCCACTAAGACTCATCTCTTGAGATGATAGTTTAAGTGATGTTGTTGGATGATCAGTGTGGTGTCAACTTAACTGGAGACCTCTCTCATGCCCTCCGCATGCGAGTTGGAGAGTTTTATTTCCGTCTTTATTGTTTCCTTTGTGTCAGAGGAAATGTCCCTCTGACAGGTCTTCCTGTTATCATCCAGTCAACTCCGGGTCACATGACCTTACGATCCTACAGGTTAAAAAGAGGTACATTTTACATTTTAGACTTTTCTTTTTATAAAAACAGAAAATATTCACCTGTTAAATAGACTGTTTGTTTATTCTTGTGTCATTTAAGATGAAAACTAACTAACTCTTCTGCAAATGAAGAATTATGAATCTCCTGTGTTGATGTTGGATGGGTTGGTCTGGACTTTCACTTATAGTCAGGGTAGTTATTTGTTTATCTTTAACTGAATGTGTTTGACTTGGTTCTTGTCATGCTGCCTCTTATGAAAGTCAGATGTTTTATTTCAGTGAGTCTTACAAGGTTAAATAAAAGTTTGATAAAACATAATGATAGTCTTGAACCTGCCAGGGTGTTGGTAGCTTTTTAAAAAATTTTCAAATGTGGATACAAATGCTAAACCTGGAATAAATCTCCCTTGGGTATTACTCTTTTGATAATTTAAATAATAATATGAATGAATGAATGAATAATAAATGAAAATTCAAGATGGCTGACATTTCTGGCAAGTAAATGTTATTTTTTGCAAGTAGTACATCCAGTATTTTTTCATATGATATAATCCAGGTTTCAGATCAAACATTTTAACAATGTAGAGGGAGAAACTTAGTACACTGTAAAAAATGAAATGAATATAGTAAAAGTTTTCAGCAAAACTCTTACTCTTACTCACAAAAAAGCTTACTAACTAGCCTAGTGCTAGCAAGTTAGCCTAGCAAGCTAATATTAAGACAAGTAAACAAGCAGACTGTCAACTCTTACAGAACTTTTGGTTAATCACTCATAATAAATGGTTTGCAAATAGATTGTGTTTTATGCAGAGTTTTTCACATTAAATATTAGATATTTCACAAATAAAGCTCTGAGGAAATGTAAGAGATAATTTGACATCCTCATAGTCTAAAACATAAGATTACATTACATAATCATTGAAATCTGTCCTGTAAAATTCTGTGGTAAAGTATACTGTATGTTTCCTATGACAGAAATGGCGGTCATCTTGAAATTTAGAAAATTTCAAGTGGCTAATGGGATTTTTCAATTGAATGATCCCAGGGGGATAAACATACCAATTATGATGCTTGTGTCCACATTTGAAAGATTATTGCAGTTATATGCTGCACTGTGACATAATCTCCTCAAGGCCTTTTTATAGTGGTAAATACTCTGCAGAATATGTGTATGTAGGGGTGGGCGATATGACGATATTAGATCGTGAAGGATTACAACGTGAAGACGATCTTTCAAACTGCAGAGATCGTGGGATCGTCTAGGGCACATTCTATAAATTGCAGTTCTATGCTGATGCACCGACGCACCAGACGTATTGACGTCGTCAATGTGACCGACCAATCATAGCGAATTACAGGCAGTGACGCACTTTCCTACCCGCCTCCTTGTTTGTGTGTGTAGCGGTAGCACATGGAGAGCGATGGCTGAAAGCCAAACGGAGTCGGTCACTAAAAAAAATTCCACCTCCATTATATGGAATTGGTTTGGATTTTCCGCAACTGATCAAGCGCAAGCAAATGTAATCTGCAAAGTTTGCACAGAAACTGTTCGCACGTCGGGTGGTAACACAACGAACCAGAATGTTGTTGTTGTTTACCTTAAACTTTACGTTGTTTGCACATGCAGGCAAAACTGCGACTATTTGAAATAAAATCTGTTTAGAAAGGTTATTTGGTCTAAATTGTCTGTTTTTCTTTTTCCAATTTAAGATCGTGATAAAATCGAAATCGTGATTTTATTTTTAAAAAATCGTGATATGATATTTTTGCCATATCGCCCACCCCTATGTGTATGTGTTGATGGACAAATTATGTTTATTATTTAAATGTAGCGTTTCTTGACTGTGATCAGAATCAGACTAGCTCTCAGTGTGGTGATACATCTCAGCCTGCTGCTTGCCTCACACACCACTGTACATATGGCACACAGCTTCACACAGCAGAGCTTCACGCCTTCATCACACTCACAAGAACATTCTTTCTCTGTTAACAACCAGCCAAGGAGCATGTTCGGCGCAACCGGCAGAGCCGCACCTTTTTGGTGGAAAATGTCATAGGGGAGCTTTGGTCGGAGCTGGAAGAAGGTAGAGTCTTTATCTTCTTTTACTCATCTCTAATGATTTCCTTGTCCTCTTCGGAGGGTAACTGCTCTTGCCTTACCTGTGCTGCAAATCTTTAGATATTAGAACACAGAGCATGTTGTAACCCAGAGATAATAGAAAATCTAACATTTACAGAAATAATGTGTATATTTTCACATAATCTTTTATTTTTTCATATTTTATCTCACTGTGTGACCAAAAGTAGTTCCACTTAATTCAATGTACAGATGCCTGCATGTGTCTGTTTTATCTCCTGCTCTGGGGTTTACTTCTAAGGTCCTTGAAGAAAAATATTATAACAATGTGGGTTTTGTTTGGGTTTGTCACTGCCTCTGTCAGCTTTGATGACATGACTGACTTCACTAATTGGTAAGACCTGGGTCAGGTAGCAACAGGCAGGTGACCAACTGCTCAGTCAGAAAATGAAGGTGAACAGTTGACACACTGATGTCCTGACTCACTGTAGTGGTGCACACAGAGTTTTCCTGTGCAGTGAGGAATTACAGGTAACACTTCAGCTGTTCTCACTTTCAGTTTGACCTCAAATTAGCATCCAGTGAATTGTACAAATAACCAGGATGTCTCAACGACTTGGTTTGTAACCTGTTGGATCGTGTGTATGGATTATGTGTAATGGCTGGAGCCCAATTAGTCTTAGAGTCCAGTTGAAAGTAACTGCTCTGTAAATCATAGGTCCAGTGCTCATCTCATTTTCCCCAGAAAGGAAGAAATTACTGTTTTATATTTGTGTAGAAAGTCTTCAGATGTCATCTTGAATGTGTTTCAGTGTGTGAATCATCTGTCCACAAGCTCGTCTTTGCCCTGAATCCAACCATTTACCTCATCCAGTTTTCCTCTGTCATCACACCAATGAGCTTCTGACTCTCCAGCCACAGACAGCTGATCTCTCTGTGTGGTTCAGTACACTGAAGAGTCACGTCCGACCTCCTGTGGGAGTGTAAAACAACAGGCTGTGGTAGATAAGAGGAGTGGATGCAGGTCAGAGCAGTGAGTCCTGTCAGGAAGGAAGCTGTTAGATAACTCACTGCACACACACTGCTCCATCTCTGTGTGTTCTCTGTGCAGGTGACCGTTATGTGGTGGTTGACTGTGGTGGAGGAACAGTAGACCTGACTGTTCACCAGATCCGGCTTCCAGAGGGACATCTGAAGGAGCTCTACAAAGCCTCAGGTAAAAAGAAGCATAACATGATATTTCTTCATCCTGCTGTCCACTCATCGTCTAAGTCACAGTACCTTTTTTACCCAGGTGGCCCCTATGGCTCTATCGGGATTGACTATGAGTTTGAGAAGCTGCTGTGTAAGATCTTTGGCCAGGATTTCATCGACCAATTTAAGATCAAGAGGCCGGCCGCCTGGGTGGATCTGATGATAGCATTTGAGTCTCGGAAAAGAGCAGCAGCTCCTGATAGAACCAACCCCCTCAACATCAACCTGCCGTTCTCCTTCATCGACTACTACAAGAAGTTCAGGGGCCACAGTGTGGAACACGCCCTGCGCAAGAGCAAGTGAGTACATTCAGAAAACCAGCAACCACACCCTGAACCAGGGACTACACCCTGAACCAGGGACCACACCCTGAACTAGGGATGCCCAGATTAATCATGATCGGCCGAATTTCATTAAAAATACCTGACCGGTAGATATGAACTAGAAAATTCCAGGGAAATTTTGAGTGCCACGGGGGCTACTGCCGGGATGAGTACATGATTTATTTCCAGTGTTCAAAAGTCACCCTGATCATATTCTGGTTTTGAGAAATGTCTTGATATAAAAGACTCTGATATAAAACAATGTCACATCCCTCCATCATGTATTATGTGGGAAATATCTCATATTCTGTGTTGTTTTTTTTAATAAAACCAGAGGCAACATGTCTTCAAACTGGCATTTAAAGGGTTAAAATCCTGAAAACTAATAAACATTTGGTAGGTTTGAGCAGAACTGAAGTGGTTTAAGAGATGTATGCAAAAAAAGCAGAAAAAAATATTGATAAATGATGATTTTATAGCATTTTCTTTGTGTGTCCTTTTTTGGACGCGAGGAACCCCAGAGGGTACAAAATGTGTTACCAGTGTATAATAGACCTGTAACAGTAACTGGCATTAGATTTTAAAAATATGTCAAAAAAGACACTTTCTTGCAGAAATCCATACCTTCAGCTGTAACACAGCCAAAATGATCAGCAAATCAAAAAGAAAAGTGAAGAAAATGTCCAAAAAAGGACAGAGGGACCCCTGAGGGTTAATAAATCCCATGAACCGCTATTTAAATGACCACTATTATGTTTTTTTCTGTGCTAAATTTAACATTACTGGGGAGGAGAGCAACGCGACTAGAAGTGACAGCTTTTAGTTGACTTGATAACAAGTTTAGAGTTGTTTGCAATGAACGGGCCACATTGCTTACACTATGCACACAACATGGCTATCATACTGCAACCACGGGTACTGAATTAGTTCGGTGTATCTGTCTATCCCTGTCTGCACCTACATTCTGATGAAAGGTCAGGTGGTCTGACCGACTGCACCACCAAAACAGCCTAATGACTAATGATCATGCAACGACCATGTGTCATTTTAACTCACAAAAAATAGTCGCATATGCGTCACGGTTTGATGCCCTGCAATGTCTGCTAAAAATGATCGGTATCAGCCATGGATCTGCCGATCTCACTCATAGATTATCAGTATCGATATAGGTGTTTAGGAAACAAAACCTTTTTTCTGAGAGTGAGATGAGAAAATGGAAATCTGTATCACATCTGTGCATGAAGTAGAAGTGGGGTCCAGACCTGGTTGGCCTAGCTTAGCATAAAGACTGGAAGTAAGGGGAAACAGCTGTCCAGTCTGTCCAAGTCCAAAAATACACCTGTCAACATATCTAAAGATCGTTAATTAACATTCTGTGTGTTGTTTGTTCAATGTGTAGCACAGTCATCTGCATTGGCACTATGACTCACTGTAGTAAGTTTATCATGTCCTGACTCCAGTGTCATACTGAACACACATACATGAGACTAACAGACTGAGCGTGTTTACCAACATGTTGAACTGTTCGTACTTTTATACTCATATAACTCACTAGTTTTTCATTCTTAATCTCACAGAGGTGAATAAATAGAAACCTTAAATTAAATAAAGATCTCCATCTTAGCTCAGTAGCTGCAGTGCACAACAGTCTCCAGCTGGTTCCATATTATTGTAATGTGACATATTACAGCTTTTTTTTTCAATACAACCTTCTTCTTCATGACTTTATTGAACTGTTTCCTGATGAAAACGTTTCCTCCACTGGGATCTATACATTTTTACTGGATATCATATAGTGAATGAAGTTGGTGCGCTCTTCCACTGGAGAGACATGGATCCTATAATCCACCACAGGCCAGACATATAACACAATACAGTTTATTTCTACGTCCATGCATCTTTCACATTGTATGACATGTGAGCTTCATTTTAGCATATAGCTCACAAGGTGAACCTTTAACTGAGGGAAGAGCAGAACCACTAACTATGAAACACAACATTAGAGTCCAGTGACAGACAGAGTTGATATTAATGATGACATCACTTTTCACTTTCAGCTATTAGGGTAGTAAAAGGACTGAGGTCTCGGACCAGCATGCAGTCTAGACTTTAATGGCCCTGTCTCATTGTCTGTGCGGATGTTCATAATCCCACTGTGAGTGACATTAAATACATTTATATGGCTAACACTGGAGCCTCAGTGGCCTCAGAGCTCCTCTGACGCCTGACTGAAGTACTCAGTCTGTCTCCATGTGCTGGAGAGCCTTGGGTGGGGCCACATTAACATTACACACTTAAAGGTGCACATATTTCAATGAACCACACACATGGGATCATAGCAGATGGAGACTATGGATTCTATGGATGATTTAGCAGACAGCGTCAGACAGAGAGAGGTGTGTTTGTTGGCCTCCAAAGACAGGACTGAGACAGAGCAGGAAAAAATTAATGACCTTGTCCACCCAGAGCCTGGGCTGCCTCTGCTCACTGCCTCTGCAATTCAAGCTGGGACAAACAGTTCAGTGGCTGATGAGAAAATATTCCAATAGAATGTTTCAAGCATGATTCCGATTCATTTTATTATCCCAAGCAGGAACTTGAATTGTAGAGCTATAAGTTGCTAATATTTTTCAATTTTCATATTTTTCACTGGAACAGTATCATGGTCACTGAATATTGTGTTATCATTTTACAAACTAACGTAAAAGATTGTGAGTAATTTGTAACTGATGTGTGAGTCCGGCAGCAATACCTGTCTCACTCTCATTGACACCTAATGTAATCGTCTTTTTTTTTCAAAAGAATCTCACTCTGTCTTCGCACTGAGCTTACTCACTCATTTTAAGGAATATCTGAATAAAATAGAGACTGTAAGAAACTTCTGGCTTCAGTGTCTGTCACGGTGTTTTCGGTTTTTGAAAAGAAGTAATGGTTTTCTCATAATTTGCAATTGTTTTAAGCCATGTAGAAGCCAAATTCTGGGCAGATTTTCACATTGCCATGGCAACGGCAGCTCCTGACCTGTGTGCGTGTGTGCGTGCCTAGCAACCAGATAACCAACTCTCCAAGCTCCGCTAGCTTTACATTAGCCGCATGTTAGGTCTTAAATTACATTTAGTTAGGTCTTAAATATGTAAGTCCATTTACTGCTTCCTTTGTTGCTTTTCTTTTTGTTTTGTTAAATGAGTGAATGAAGTTGTGACGGTCTCCGCTGAGACAGAGGAGAGGAGAAGCTACTAGCCCTCTCTCGCTGTCACTTCTAGTCGCGTTGCTCTCCTCCCCAGTAATGTTAAATTTAGCACCGAAAAAAACATAATAGTGGTAATTTAAATAGCGGTTCATGGGATTTATTAACCCTCAGGGGTCCCTCTGTCCTTTTTTGGACATTTTCTTCACTTTTCTTTTTTGATTTGCTGATCATTTTGGCTGTGTTACAGCTGAAGGTATGGATTTCTGCAAGGAAGTGTCTTTTTTGACATATTTTTAAAATCTAATGTCAGTTACTGTTACAGGTCTATTATACACTGGTAACACATTTTGTACCCTCTGGGGTTCCTCGCGTCCAAAAAAGGACACACAAAGAAAAGGCTATAAAATCATCATATATCAATATTTTTTTCTGCTTTTTTTTGCATACATCTCTTAAACCACTTCAGTTCTGCTCAAACCTACCAAATGTTTATTAGTTTTCAGGCTTTTAACCCTTTAAATGCCAGTTTGAAGACATGTTGCCTCTTGTTTTATTAAAAAAAACAACACAGAATATGAGATATTTCCCACATAATACATGATGGAGGGATGTGACATTGTTTTATATCAGAGTGTTTTATATCAAGACATTTCTCAAAACCAGAATATGATCAGGGTGACTTTTGAACACTGGAAATAAATCATGTACTCATCCCGGCAGTAGCCCCCGTGGCACTGAAAATTTCCCTGGAATTTTCTAGTTCTCATTACTGTTGTGATGTCAGTTTGATCATATCACCTCTAACTGATCCTCTCTCCTCTCCAGTGTGGATTTTGTTAAATGGTCATCTCAGGGCATGCTGAGGATGAGTCCAGATGCTATGAACTCCCTCTTCAAGCCCACCATAGATCACATCATCCAACACCTCAGTAAGCTACACTGATAACTGCAGCACCTCCACACACACACACTCACACACATCTCTCAGCTTTGTGTAGCTGCAGAGTGATGTGAACAAAATGTCTAATGGTAAAACTGCAGACTTAACTTGTGATAGTAACTAATGCAAACTACACATCATACACTGTGTACCATACAATTTACCTGGTTTTAGGAAGATACAATTCCACCACTGTGACAAGTGGCTGTGGGTACTCACAGTAATAAAAGTTAAAATTTCTCTGAACAACAATAGAAACTTAAACACATCACTAAGTAGATCATTCATCCTCAGTGTATGTTCCCCCTTCCTGTGACACAGTTACAGTCACTGGTTTTATTCACTGAGATTCTGTTTTCTCCTCCAGCTGAGCTCTTTGAGAAGCCGGAGGTGAGCGACATTAAGTTCCTGTTCTTGGTGGGAGGTTTTGCTGAGTCGCCCCTGCTGCAGCACGCTGTCCAGAATATGCTGCAGGGCCGTAGCCGCATCATCATCCCCCATGATGTTGGCCTCACCATCCTTAAAGGCGCCGTGCTGTTCGGCCTGGACCCCAGCGTCATCAAAGTCCGCCGCTCACCCCTCACATATGGTGTAGGCGTGCTCAATCGCTTTGTGGAGGGCAAGCACCCGCCGGAGAAGCTGCTGGTGAAGGACGGCACTCGATGGTGCACTGACGTTTTCGACACCTTTATCACTGCCGACCAGTCTGTGGCGCTGGGTGAGATGGTAAAACGGAGCTACACGCCGGCCAAGCCATCCCAGCAGGTTATTGTCATCCACGTCTACTGCTCCGAGAAAGAGAGCGTGGGGTTCATCAGTGAGTCTGGTGTCAGGAAGTGTGGGACACTTCGTCTGGATGTGAGCGGAACAGAAAGCACAGCTCCACGTCGCGAGATCCAGACACTCATGCAGTTTGGTGACACAGAGATTCGAGCCATGGCGGTGGATGTGTCCACTGGACGCACCGTCAAAGCTAGCATTGACTTCCTGAGCCATTAAGTAGGCCATGAGAGAGCTAATGTAACAGAAAGGTTGGAGGGAATCAAAATGGAAAGACCAGGGAAAGAAAAGGTGTGTGTTAGGATCATCACTTCACCTCATCCCAGTAGTTTATTTACTGACAAGCTCTGTAGTGTTCACTCTCTCATAACCAACCCAGACACCCCCGCTGAGGCTGTAGCTTTGTTGAGTCAGGTTTAAGAGCTTGATCACTTCCAAGCCATAATGTATTACAGGCCAGCTTTTCAAACCTTCTCTGTGCACTCCAGTCATACAGTAAATTGTTCCTACATAACCACAGTGGATACACATTGAGAGTACATCTCTACATGCTTCAGTTTGTTTTAATGTTGCAGCAGATCATTGTATTTCAATCATGATGCTTGTGGTTGCTCCACATTGTAAATGTGCACCATAATACATGTTGTGTGACAAAAGTCTATAAAGGTCATAATAATAACATGCCATCAGTTCTGATGGAAGCTCAGCTCCACCTCACCACAGTTCTAAGGGCCATTCCAGTGGTTTTGCATGATTCAGCCCTTTAATCAGTGTAAAGTGTTAATACATTAAAACACACTGCCAGTTTATTTCGGATTGATCCACAGGTTCCACTAAGCCTTTAGTAATAGTGATCCTCTGCAGTGAACAACTTATGGTATTGCAACCTAGTACTCTGTGAAACAAGTTGTAAACAACACTGACATATTATCACCTTGATATGGTTAAAATCAGTATTCATTTGAAGTTGTTTTGAATCTTCCTCGATTCACTCTCAGTTTAGCTCTGGTTTGGTCTCCACCAGCCCTTTACCAAGTGGTCCCCACCTACACCTGGACAGGAGGTGTACAGTGGTTCACCAGAGGCTGCAGGCTGACGAGGACAGTGAGGCTGAACCAGACTGTAAAACTACGAGCCATGAAACCAAAACAATGAGCTGAAAGATGCTTAAGTCCACTGTAGATTTGAGTGACACCTCTCTGCGTTCTTAATACAAATGAAATTGAGTATTAAGATACCTGATAATTAGTAATCAGTTACATACAGATGTTTGAGCCCCATCATGGCTGCCTAAACAGCTGGAGATAGAGATGGGCCTGGGATTTGAAGACACTGCTTTTCTACAAATTTATATTATCCATATTCAATAGATAAATGCCCTTGTTCAGTTTTTTTGTTGCCCTCATGGCAATGAACACTGCAGACAATAGAACAGATCTGATTTAGAGACAGTCTCCATTCAGAACAGGCGATAATGGGCCTTCATACTTGACACTGATAAGATAACCTACGTAAATATTGACACATGCTTAAGCATAGCAGTTGGTACCATAAAGGTACAGAATTTTTAAATCCACCCATACCTGGAGGACAGGAAATCAATCTAAACCCTGATGTCATGCCTTGGAGAATATCTCCTGATGATCTCAAGTATCTTATTTTTTAATCAATGGGCCAAATCATGCAAAGCTGCCAGTATGGTCCTTTAAGATTATCCACACATTCCAAGAATGTGGAACGTGCTGCGAGTCCAATCTGACGAGTACAGCCATCAAATGTGCTTAATTGTTGCCTTTATTTGTTTATGCTTCTGATTATCACTTGAATATTTTGAAGCTAGGTGTGAGACAAACAATGAAGTATGTTTATTTCTGTAAATACAGTATTTAAATTTTGTACAGATTACAGATTTGTACAGATTTTAGCATTGTTTCTGCAGCTTTAGAGCCAAGAGTATGTGTGTGTGTGTGTGTGTGTGTGTGTGGGGGGGGGGGCAGCGTGTTTGTGTGTGTGCATGAACATCTTTCAACATTTGTTTTTTCTCACCAGCCATAGCATGAGAGGCCAAGGCAGCTTTGATTGCCTTGTTCATTCAAAATGAGAGACTGGCTGTGTCGCCTGTTTTTTTTTGTTTGTTTTGTTTATTTTGCAAACACAAAAGACACTTGAATACCTCCATCCTTTAAAAAGCATTTCAATCAATAAGTCTGCTGTTACTTAGTTTTGAAATGACAGCAGTGTCTGAATGTGTCCAGTCCCCTTCTCCATCCACCCTGCAGTACAAGTTTATAATAATTGATGACATATTTAATAAAAAATATGAAGACGTTTCCACCCCACTGCAAAGAACTTGAGCCACTGAGTTTATTAGAAATGGTTGTTTCTGTGTTAAAATCAAGGCAAAGTCAGCAATAATCATACAACAGCCACATTTAAGTTTTAGCTCTTCATTAACAGAGTGCCTAGTACGAATAAAATGTGATGTCAAGATTCACTCATCTCATCAGAGCATCCCTTCACCCTCCTAATGATGTATTTAGCTTTATACATGTGTGCCCTCAGACATAATCACTGAGAATCACACATCTCAACGCATGTTCATCTGACATCATGGTGAAGTGAACAGGTTGAGTTACAGGGGCCTTACTGTGAGTCATCTCTTACCCTGATCAATCTCTGCTGGCAGCAACAATACGTCCTCATTCAAGCTCTGTCATTTGGTCACTGAATATGATTACCGTTGTGCAGTTTGGTCCATGGCAAAATGTTTGTGTTGATTCTCACTCAACAGAGCAGGATTACATAACATTATAGAAGTGTGATAATATGACAGCTTCCTTCAAAGGTCAACACTGTCAAAATGATTTGCTGTTGTCACAAGTTTGTGAGTCTGCCTCAAAGTAACTTAAGTAGGTCATTGCATTCCACACACTCTGTCTGTCTGTAGTCTCAATACAAGGCAATAATGTGTACTTCCAGAGACAGTCCTGGCTGACAGTCTGTCCCTGAAGTTCTTCATGGTGTCACCAAAGTAAATGATACACACCAGAGCATGATTGTCAGATTATCTGTTTTGGAAAGTAACTAAAGTTGCTCTTAGGGCACTGCCCAAATGCCCCTTGCCTCCATAAGTGAATCCACTGTTTGAAATAAATCAATGTCATGTATAAATGCTGGTGTGACCAGGGCCCTTACACCTGCTTCAGCATGTTAGCTTGCACTGAAACTTTCATTTCTGTCATATGGAACGATGCACTTCCTTCCTGTCTGGCAGTTACAGATGGAGACTGTACATCCTGACCACATGTGTCACCATATCCTAACACAACTCAAGGAAACATATGATGTTTACATTTTACACAGGTCTCTAAGCTAGCTAAGTAAAGAAGACCATGAAACATCACATAAAGAGGCAACATATCCCCATGATAAATCCTGGAAAAACTATGAGCCTTTTTTTGTCATTAGCTTGTTTGGCTGAAGGAAGAGGCCAAATCATCATTGAGCCATTGATACTGACACAGCCCCCACAGATATATTAGTAACTCTAGTAAGATCTTAATTATAACCATTTTAAAATCCATTTTCTTAGACTCTTTATTTGAACTGTGAATTGAAGCTCGTCTCACTCAGCGTCCATGTACAATGTTGCACAAGCTTCAGTGCCCTCTGCTGTTTTCGGCACTCTTTCTGCAATGCACGTTTTGCATGTTACATAGAAATGACTGAACGAGACTGCTATTACTAGTTCACAAGGTTTACGACTCACGATGATGATGATGATAGTGTTTTCTGGAGGAACCTCACAGTGTTGGAGACTGGTTTGGCTGTGTGTGTGTTAATACTCTGCTGCTTTCTGAGCTGATGTAGTTAATGTTAATGCTCATAACTGATGGCAGCTCATAACCATAGCAAGGCAGCACTTGACATACTTTACTGATAAATAACCTAGTAACCTTTTATTCCTTCTGCATATTTCTGTGCTCACTAATGATGGATATCCAGAGGAATGATTTAATAACACAGCAGTCTTGTTTCCTTGGTTACATAATTACATAATGACCTTGAGTATTATATGATGCACAGGACAATGTTATGTAGCAGCTTTATACTTAAAGCGATGATAAAATTACATGAAGATATGTTTAGCTGACATTAGCTTTCTCTTCTCAGCACGTGAGGCACATTGACATTTTGGCTGCAATGTCAAACTCCTGGTCAATCAGTCTGAGGTCCAGTCATTCAGTGGAAGTGATTTGAGGTAGCAGTCTAGCCAGCTTGCATTATGTACAACTATCTGCTTAACACTATTTAGAAAAAATAATAGACAATAGAAAAAAATTACTGCTAAAAGGACTGAGCTTGTAGTTAGGATCCTCTCAGCCACTCTGGAACGCAACACAATGTACACTTTGTTCTTTTAGTCCTTAACTGATGATTCAAACAAGTTTTGTCTTTCTTGTTTTTTTTTATCTTGAGTTAATTAAATGTCTTGTTCTCTTGCAATTTTCACACAGTAATGGGTGTTTTTTTTTTTTTTTTATCTATATCACTGTCAGACTGTCACCAATAAAATGTATGTGTATTTCAAAGAACATTCCTTTGTGCTGTGTTTTCTGCTCAGTTCGTTGTGTTTACGTTTTCCCGTTCCCTGCCGTCAATATAAATAAAGCATACATGTGTATCCAGCCAAACAACAGCAATTTAGCTAGCTTACACAGCCTACTTTACAATGTCACTGTAAAACCATAAAAACACACTGAAATGTCATATAAACATGAAATGAAACAAACACCAACCTTGTGCCTCTCTCAACCAGGCGCTAACCGAACAAAAGTGCTTTTAGGAAGCACCATGTTACCAGGTCTACCTTGTCACATTCTTTCATTACTTTCGTTTTTCTCGCTACCGTTATTGCACTACTGCAAAATAAAAGCATGGCTTTCACAATAAAACCAGCGGAACTAACAAAAACCATGGGCTTCAATAAATGTTTATAAAATGATCCAACATAATGTTAATGTCACGGGTGTGACTAAGAGGTAAAACATTTTTAAATCTACTGGGGAGCATATTGACCAAAAAACAGCAAGCAAGTGTGTGGTTATAAAAAAAAATGTATTACAGATTAAAAGTTAATTAATTAATTAATTAATTAATAAGTAAGTTAAGAACATTTTTTAAAGACAATAAAAAAGAGTCCCAAATGCCCCGACCACCAGCAAGAGTCCCAGTGTTAAAGAGTCCAGGGTCCAGCAGTGTTCAGCAGCGTTCTTATCGGCTCCTTTGTAGCACCCACATGGACCTTGTGACCTTAATAATCAAATAATCATGCAATTAGATCAATATTCCAAGGGAAATATAGGCAAAACACAAATTACTGCCAGGGCGAAACATTCAATTCATGAAAAGGGAAAGAAACGGGTCTTAACTGGAGTACCTATCCCATGAAGCGTGTCCCTCTCTGATGCGGTGGCTTGTTGCTGCACTGTGCATGTGATTAGCTTGTTCAGCTTTGCCTCACTCGTGGCTCCTGCAGGCTGTCTCAAAACTCTGCCGTTGCTCGTCTCCTCTCTGCCGTCAATGTCTGCTCCGTTCCTCTGCCGCTCTCAGCGCGCACGTCCTGCACACCTGTGCTGCATTAGCTGTGGAGGCAGGTAGAAGACACCGCTGTGGAGCCCAATGCACCAATCAGTGCTTCCCGCACCCAGGTGTCATCTTGGGTTAAATGAACCCCACGAAAGCACAGGAAGTCTCCACCAAAAAAACAGCACCGCCGCCAGGATCAGATGAGCACACACACACACAGTCACCCTGTGACACTCCCCCCAACTCAAAATGTTCTAGTCCCTAGAGCTACTCCCGATATCTCAGGGGTCTACATCTGTTTACCCTTTGGGAACATCTTAGTTCAGGGGCCTGAGCTTCCTTAACAGCTCCCCCTGGGTGGAAAGGGAGCCCAAAACTCCACACTGTTAAACCTTCATTGGTCCCACTGGCCTGAGGTTCAGTGGTCTCAGCTGCTCTTGGGCCCAAACAGGGGAGGCAAGGGCGTAAACTGTTGTGGTGCAGGACACGGTCTGGGCCATCTTTACCTTGAGGTCTAATTTTATACACAGGGCGGTCTGTATAAGGCCCTGCTACTACAACATGGTGCTGGCTTTCTCACCTATCACTCAATTTTCCCTTTCCCTGTCTCCTCTCGTCTAAAACCAGCACTCTCCTGGAAGAAGTGGGACATCCTGAGCTGTCCTGTCATATATTCTCTTGTTTTTCTCTGCAGCTTTGTTCAGGTGAGCTGTGGCCTTACTGTAAGAATAGCTTAGCTGCCTATGGTGTTTACCAACCCACTCAGTGGTTGTAGAGGTAACTTCTAGGCCTGTAAAGCTCCATTCAAAATGTCCATGGGGGTCCTAAGGTGGCAGCCAAACATCAGGAAGGCAGGTGCATAATTGGTGGAGCTGTGGATGGTATTGTTGTTGGACTGTACTAGCCCTGGCAAATATCCCACCCAGTTACGGTGCTGCTCAACCTCTAGTCTCCCTAGCAGGTTCAAGAGTGTCTGATTAAATCTCTCACAGGCTCAATTACCATGTGGGTGGTATGGAGTAGTGTGGGTCTTGTGGCAACCATCTACCTGGTACAGTTCTTTTATCAACTTAGACTTGAAATTTGGGCCTTGGTCCACATGTAGGATTTCTGGACAACCAAAGGGCTGTATGACGTCCACAATGCACGCACTGTAACTGCAGCAGTTTGGTCTGGGGTAGGGACAGCCCATGCATACTTGGTAAACAGATCAGTTATCACGAGAATGTTTTGGTATCTGTCTGTTGGCCAGTTGAGTGTCAGAAAATCCATGGCTAAAATGTGCATGGGAGCCTTGGCAGTCAAGGGGACAAGAGGGGCACTAGCATTAGCTTTAGTATTGTGTAGTACACAGTGAGGGCAACTTTGAATGTAAGCTT